GGGCATCAGTTTTGGGCAAGTTTGGCTTTGCCTGTTATACCTTTGAAATATGATCAGCTGATGCCAACCCTAGACTGATACGTGAAGAATGCTCACTTAAGTGAGATGCTTGTGGATGATCAGTACCTGTGGAAGAATCATACTCAACATGAATCAACATATTCAGAAAAGCAAACAGCAAATTGCAGGAGGATTGTTGGTGCTAGAAAATCAATATCTTTAATTCGTTAAAATGTGTATGTCATACTTTCAAAGCTTTACTTCATATATTGGTTTCCTTAATGAAGAATAATTTCACCCATTGTTCACACATAAAACATTTCCTTTTACAAAATCATGTGGCAGATTTCCCATAGTTGTTGACTTGCTCACAACAGTCTGTAACATGGAAGGGGTTTTCAAACTCCTGCAGTGCAACTTATCACAAGAAGATGTTTCCAATTGAACAGTAAAAGTCTTGCTAAAACAGTCTATTTGGCGTGGGGCTTTCCTAATGGATAGCAGCAACATTTGCAATAGATGCTGAGGGAACCCTGTCTAATAGACTTTTGCAAAAAGTTGGAACATCTCAGCTATGTTAATGTCTGAGTAAGGCAGACAGTTCCACAGAGATTGAGCAATGGTTTTATAAAATATTTAGGAGACATCTGCTGTACATAATGGATTTTTACTGCTTTATCAATGCTTATGGACAATGAGGTATTTTGTAATTTAAGATGTGAAACCAGTCAACATTTGACAGCAGAGTAACATCACTGTTGAATACAATTCATGTAATTTTCAGCAACAGGTCTTTGTGTAGAGGCCCTGGATAGTTCTTCAACTAGGCCATAAACTGCTGTTGCTGATCATACATTCCTTATAGAGCCCAAAAGAAGACTGAAAGAACTGCGGATGCTGGAAATCAGAAATGAAAAGAGAAATTTCTGGAAAAGCTCAGCAGGTCTGGCAGCATCTGTGGAAAGAAGGCAGAGTTAACGTTAAGGGTCTAGTGACCCTTCTTCAGAATCCACATCATCTTAATGTACTTGGCTGTGAAATATTAGTGTTTTTATGATGACCAATTCACTACACAAAGTTTTATGCCTAGATGACAAGTTGAATCATAAAAGAATCAAAGCGAGTTCTGAAAGGACGGAATGTATCCTCCTGTGGGAGAATCTAGAATTAGGGGTTATGGTTTTAAAATAAGCGGTCACCCAGTTCAGCCAAAAGAAGAGATTTTTTGTTCTTAACCAGTTTGATCAAATACGGTTAACTCTGAAATGGCCTAGTAATTGTGTCTAATTGCTACAATGAATAACAAAAGAATTAAACTAGATGGACCACCAACCTAGGCTAAGGCAACAGCAACAATGCACACAGTGAACTGGCAAAGACCCTCTTATTAATATTTGGGGCTTGTGCCAAAATTGGAAGATTGTTGTGGTGATTGGAGATTGCAGAACATCACTCTAGGAATTCCTCAGGGTAGTGCCCTTGGCCCAACTATTTCGGAGCTCCCCCAGTTAAGACAGATGAGGACATTTTTTTTTCTCTCACAGGGGGTCATGTGTCTTCAGAACATTCTTTCTCAAAAGGCGATGGAAGTAGAGTTGTAGAATCCCTAAAGTGTGGTCGCGTCCTCACCATCCCTCTGAAGACTATCCCGTCCATACCCATTCCCCTATCCTATCCCTGCAACCTTGCATTTCCTATGGCTAATCCACCTAACCTACACATCCCTGGACTCTATGGGTAATTTAGCATGGCCAATCCACCTAACCTACATGGCTTTAGACTATGGGAGGAAACCAGAACACCCGGAGGAAACCCATGCAGACACAGGGTGAATATACACACAGACAGTAGCTAGAGGCTGGAATTAAACCTGGGTCTCTGGCACTGTGAAGCAGCAGTGCTAACCACTGACCCACTGCACCACCCAGGTTTTTCAGGCAGGGATGGGTTGATAGACTGTAGGTAACCAAGGGGCTGAAAGCTTAACAGGGATAGACAGAAATGTTGAGTAATCAGATCAGCCATGATCTTACTGAATCCTACCACAGGTTTGAGGGGCCAAGTGGTCCATTTCTGCTTCTAGTTCATAGGTTCATATTCATGTGAATGATACTTACTCACTGATATATATCCTCTCTTATGTTGTTTGGTAACAATGATAATAAAGCACAATTTATTAAAGTGCGATGCTTTCTTAACTTACTTGTCCTAATGTACTTAAATTAAAACCTTTGAAGAAATTAAGCAATTGTATGTAGAATATGGATTTTTCCACAATTTCATGCTTTTTTTTAACCTTACAGTCCATTAGTATTATTTAAGAATCAAAGGCAACCTTACAAGTATGCATTTCCTAAACTGTCTTTGAATATGAGGTTAAGTATCTTGGGCTTATTTGTGTTTAAAATATAATGATAACCTGACCTGCCTTAACCAAACGTATTGTAACTGAAACTCCTACTATTATGTTTCTGGTCTCTATTTCACCAAAACAATATAGAAGCACTGGAGAAATTATGAAAAGATTTGCATGGCCACACGAGAACTTGAGAGATTTGAGCTATTGGAAAAGATTGAGCAGGCAGAGGCCCTTTATGTTAGAGAAGAAAACATTGAGCTGGGGGGAAATATTCTAAATTGTGAAGAAAAGTGTCATAGGGTGAATGTTCAGAAGATATTTCCACTTATAGGGGAGTCATAATTACAGGTTATCAATATAAGATGGGCACTAATAGATCCATAAGGAATTCCAGAGAAACATCTTTACCTTGAGAGTGACTGGAATGTGGAACCCTGTTACCACATGGAACAGCTGAAGCAAATCCCAAAGATGGGTATGGGGGAAGATAACTAAATGGGTAAGGAAAGAAGGAGTAGGGGATTAGCAACTAAGGAGAGAGTAGGGTCTCTTATAGATCGATGAGGTCGTCATTCTGTTGAACCTCGGGAGATATTAAATGAACATTTTGCTTCAGTTTTCACTGGAGAAAGAAATGGAGGCTGGAGAACTCAGGGAAATAAATATTACTGTTTTGAAAACAGTTCACATTATAGAAGAGGAAGACTCGAGGTCTTAGAAAACAAAAAGGTGGATGAATCTCCGGGATGTGATCAAGTGTATTGCAGGATATCCTGGGAAGTTAGGGAGGAAATTGTGAGGCCCCTAACAGAAATATTTGTATCATCTATAACCACGGGTGACCTGCCAGAGGATTGGAGCTGGCTGATGTTGTGCCTTTATTTAAGAAGGGCTGTGAAGAGAAGCCTGGGAACTAAGCCCGTGAGCCTGACATCAGTGGTGGGTAAGTTGTTGGAGGTGATTCTGAAAGTTAGGATTGACACGCATTTGGAGAGGCAAGGAATGATTCGGGATAGTCAGCATGGTTTTGTGTGAGGTAAATCGTGTCTCACAAACTTGATTGAGTTTTTTGAGGAAGTAACCAAAAAGATTAATGAGGGCAGAACAGTAGACGTTATTTTCTTGGACTTTAGTAAAGCCTTTGGTGAGGTTTCACACAGTGGACTAATTAGTAAAGTTAGATCACATGGGATTTAGGGTGAGCTTGCCAATTGGATACAAAATTAGCTTTACGGTAGGAGGGTGGTAGTGGAGGGTTGTTTTTCGGACTGGAGGCCTGTAATCAGTAGTGTTCCACAGGGATCAGTACTGTATCCACTTTTGTGTGTCATTTATATAAATGATTTAGATGAAACATAGGAGGCCTGGTTAGTAAGTTTGCGGGTGAAATCAAAATTGATGGCATAGTGAACAGTGAAGAAGATTATCTGAGATTACAAAGGGATCTTGATCATTTGGGTCAATGGGCTTAGGAGTGGCAGATGGAGTTTAATTTGGATAAACGCAAGGTATTGCATTTTGGTAAAACAACCAAGGGCAGGATGTAAACAGTTAATGATAGGGCCCTGGGAACAGGGAGGCCTAGGGGTTCAGGTACATGACTCTTTTGAAATTTGCAAGACAGGTAGTCAGGGTAGCTAAGAAGATGTTTAGCATGCTTGCTTTCATTGCTCAGACCTTTGAGTATAGGAGTTAGGTTGAGGTTGTACAGGACTTTGGTGAGGTCTCTTTTGGAGTACTGTGTGCAGTTTTGGTTGCCCAATTATTAAACTGGAGAAGATTCAGAAGAGATTTGCCAGGATGTTGCCGGGAATGGTGGGTCTGAGTTATAAAAATAGGCTGGATAGGCTAGGACCTTTTTCACTGGTGTGTAGGAGGTTGAGGGGTGACCTTATAGAGGTTTATAAAATCATGAAGGGCATAGATAAGGTAAATAGGAAAGGCCTTTTCCCTAAAGTGGGGGAGTTCAAAACTAGGGGGCATATTCTTGAGATGAGAGGAGAAAGATTTACAAAGGACATGAGGGAGAACTTTTTTTTATACAGAGTAGTTAGTGTGTGGAATGAACTGCCTGAGGAAGTGGTGGGTGCAGTACAGTTACAACATTTAAGAGACATTTGGATAAGTACATGAATAGAAAAGGTTTGGAGGGATATGGGCCAAATGCAGGCAGGTGGGTTGAGTTTCATTGGATCGAAGGGTCTGTTTCCATCTTCTATGACTCTATGGTTCTAGTATGCTGAGTGGTGACATGAAATAGAGTGAATGAGGCTCACGTGCAGCACAGACTGTGTGGGCTGAAGGGCCTGTTTCTGTGCTGTAAAATTCACATATCTCCATAACACCATTAACTGATGTTCCAGGACACCTATTGCATGTTTGGCCTGGAATCCAATATGAAATGTTCTTCATTACTTTTCAATAAGTTTATATGGAGACTGAGTAACTCAACATCTCCGCAAGGCATCTCCCAGAATCTCTATTGAATGTTCACTCCATACTTTCTGTGTCCTTACCATAATTTTGAAAACTTATTTTGTTTGTTTGAATCGTTTTTTTTAGGGTTTTATTTTGTCTGATCAGGAGATCTAAGTTGCTTTTGTATAATCTGCTTGTAATGTGTTGTTTATTATTTTAATAGGTGCTGATCCACGAGTGAAGGTTAACACTGAATGTTTGGCTGTTCAAAATGAATTTCAACAGGTTTGTTGTCTTCTAGTTCAATTTTACATTCAACTATAATGATAGGCGTGTATAATTCCTGTCATGTCAACAGTGATTAATGACTGGACAACTCAACTGTTGAACTATGGTATCCATTCCAGTCAATCCCTTTCTCATTCCCCCTTCTTGCTATTCAGACCCTTTGTAGACTGCCCCATTTCTTTTGGGCAACAGTTTGGGCTAGCGATCTGTTCTAAGGTATACCATAAGGTATCCTTCTGTGCTGCACTTGATGTAGCCAGTCAGAGGCCTCAAAGACCGACTCCATTGCTTCCTTAGTTATAAAGTCAAGTAATTGTAGCTGAGGCTGTAGACTCACTGCATAAATAATTGTACATCTTCATGTTTTATCAGAACACCACTGTGCAGGGAGTTCGACCCAATGCATCAAAAACTGTACCCAAGATTATTGTGATCTTAGCTCAAATTACCACATATAAACATTATGATGAAATCCGTTCACACTTGGCACAACAACTTCGTAGAGAGGAGTAAACCTTTCAAGAAGTTAATGTATGTCAGAATCTAACAGAACCAAATGTCATTTTCCTCTGATGTCAGAAACAGTAAAATGAATTATCAGATAACACAGTAGAGACTATAACCGTTTGAAGTGTTCATCAAGCTCATAATTATAAGTATAGACTCAGGGGATGCACAAAGACCAAGTCAAAGCATCAAGATCTTTTTAGGATTAGGTAATTAAGCCTCTTTGATCTTGATTTGAATCCAGACCAGAAAGAGAGGACCAGACTCTCATATCTATATAAGGGAAATTAAATTCAGCAACATTAACCCTAATGCATGCAGGCTGACAACTCAAAAACTGCTTGAATTTAGAGATAGCTTGGCAAAGAAAGTAGCACAGTTAGTAATCTCAGAAAAGATGTAGGCATAATTGTCGTGAGAACTAGAAAGCAGCAACAACAGTGTGCCTTTGCGTAATGCTTTCAATGATAAACTGCTGAAGAAGCAGTAATTGGCAAAAACAAAATCTGAACTATGGTAAAGCTGGAACTGTTTCAGAGGACCTGTCTTGCAGTTTGAAAAGGACGTGCTTCAGGTGGGAGCATTGCACGGCAGATACTATTCCTTTGTCAATATGGCAGGTGGCGCACTTACAGCTGGAAATGTGAATGTACTTCCTGTTGTTCTTATTGGGAACTGAGTGGAACTGTTAGCATGTGAAAACCAGCACATTGTGGCCCAATTTATAGTCCTATAAATCTGCCTTAAGCATCTCAGATAGGGATTGATGGCCATAACTATTTCCATTAATATAAATTAGATCCAAAAGTCCATTTGATGCTCTTTTATAACATGAATTGATTCTAGTGATCATGGTCAGGCCTGATTGTAGAAAAACTGATTCAGTGAAGCTGAAATAATGGTAATTGAATGAACAAAATGGTATTGACCTCACATTCCAGACTGTTGGTGTTAAATGCAATTCATTGGATTGTAGATATTGACCATGAATAATGTCTTCTATATTTGACTTAACATGTGATAGTGTACTCAACCCTGTTTAGACCCATCTTAAATGGATCATTGAAATATAATTGCCTACTGGACTGACAAGACTTTCAGCAGACTCATCACCCCTCCCTACAAAAGCCTTGCTCTCAGAAAGACTTTGATAAGGTGCCACATATCAAAGTCTGTGCAATCAAAAGACCACGAAGCAGTATGGTCTGAAAGATGACTACAAAATGGAGTGTTGATATTAAGAGAAGTTCCCAATTTTCATCAGTGATTTTGATTGGGAGATTTATTGGAAATTAGCTATATTTATGATACTAAAATAGAAGGGTCAATAAAATTGAAGGACACAGCCCAGAAACTACAGAGCAAATTAAACAAAGTATTTCAGTGTACCAGAATTTAATAAAGTATAAAGCATTGCACACAGGAAAGAAAGATGTGCAACATGAATGCCTTGTGACTGGTTCTGAAATGTCTGAGGAGAGAATTGAAAGAGAACTAGGAGGCTCAATCGACCCAACATTCAACATGTCCAGACAATGCAGAATAATAATATACAAAGCTAACAGAATGTTGAACTGAAACAAAAGCAGAAATTGCTGGTAAAGCTCAGCAGATCTGGCAGCATCTGTGGACAGAAATCAGAGTTAGCTTTTCAGGTTGAGTGACCCTTCCTCAAACTTCTGAGGACTATTCTGAGGAAGGGTCACTCAACATGAAATATTATCTCTGATTTCTCTCCACAGATGCTGCCAGACCTGCTGAGCTTTTCCAACAATTTCTGTTTTTGTTTCTGATTTACAGCAGTGGCAGTTTGTTCGGTTTTTATTTGGACTGTTGAAACGCATGGCTAATAGATTGGAGTACAAATGATCAAACTGTATCATGCTTTGGCCAGATCACACGGCAAGTGCATAGGGCAGTTATCTGCAATAGTGCAAGCTGTGTCTCGGTGTGTAGCAATTTCATATCATGTCAGAAAATTGATGGTTCAAGTCTCACTCCAACAACTTGAACATAACGTCTTTGTTGGCATTCCATTCCAGTCCTGATGGAAGTGCTTCGGTTTGGATGAAATGTTAAATGAAGGCCCCATGCTCTCTGCCGGATGAATGTAAAAGATTTGAGAGCATGATTTCGAAGCAGAGAAGTGGAATTCACCTTGACATCCTGGGCAATATTTCTTGCTCAATCAAGAGCTTAAGAACAGATTATTCAGTCATTATAACATTATTGCTTGTGAGAGCTTGCTGTGCACAAATTGATTCCTATGCTTCCTACATTCCAACAGTGAAGATTCAAATTAAAGACTGAATTCGGAGAAGAAAACACTGCACTTAATGGGGAAAAGGTGAAGATGTGCCTTCGTGCAACATAATCAACATTTAGCATGAATTTTGGAGCTGAATGGTAAAAGGAGCATTACGATGGAGCAGTAGAGGGACCTTGCATTGTTCTGAAGGGAGATATTAAAATAAGCCATTTCCTATGATCTTGTGAAATAATCAGGATTGGGAGTTACAAGTCCAACATACGAATTGTCAAAGCTTATAATTTATATTGTTTTATTTCTTATACATTAAGTTGACCGTCACATTCATTGTAAATAGATTTCTGCAGCAGAATCTCTTCATTACATGAGTAATACAAGGCAAACAGGAAAGTACTCAAGCAGGAAATTAGGAGAGCAAGAAGGGGCCATGAAATGGGCTCCCAAGGTTCCATAGATACATTAAAAACAAGAAGATAACTAGGGAGAAGATAGGACCACTCAAAGATGAAGGAAGGAACTTGTGTTTGGAGGCAGAGAATGTGGGTAAGATCCTAAATGAGTAGTTTGCATTAGTATTCACCCAGGAAAAGGATAAGGAGGATAGTGAGATTTGTGTGGAGCATGCTAATATGCTAGGGCATTTTGAGATCAAGAAAGAAGTGGTGTTGGATCTGTTGAAGAGCATTAAGGTGGATTAGTCCCCACGGCCCAATGGCATCTACCCCAGGTTATTGAGAGAGGAAAGAGAAGGGATTGCTGGGGCCTTGACCAAGATCTTTGTATCCTTGTTGGCTACTGGAGACATCCTGGAGGACTGGTGAGTACCTAATGTTGTTCCTCTGTACAGGAAACTACAGACCAGTGAGTCTCACATCAGTGGTTGGGAAGCTATTGGAGAGAATTCTTAGGGATAGGATTTACGCACATTTGGAAAAGAATGGCCTAATTAGGGATAGTCAGCATTGCTTTGTGCAGGGCAAGTCATGTCTTATTAACTTGATTGAATTTTTTCGAGGAGGTGACGAGGGCGATGGATGAGGATGGAGTAGTGGATGTTGTTTAAATAGATTTTGACAAGGTCCCTCATGGTAGGCTCATCCAGAAGATTAAAATGCATGGGATTCATGATGATTTGGCCAGATGGATTCAGAATTGGCTTGCCCATAGAAGACAGATGGTATTGATGGAAGCATGTTTTTCAGGCTGAAGGTCCATGATTAGTGGTGTTCCACAGGGATCCTTACTGGGACCTCTGCTGTTTGTGATATGTATAAATGATTTAGATGAAAATGTAGATGGGTGGGTTAGTAAGTTTGCAGATGATACAAAGATCAGTGGAGTTGTGGATAGTGTAGAAGGTTGTCATATAATACAACAGAATACAGATCAGTTGCAGATATGGGCAGAGAGATGGCAGATGGAGTTTAATCCGGAGAAGTGTGAGCTGCTGTACTTTGGGAGATCAAATGTTGAGGCAAAGTATACAGTTAATAGCAGGACTGTGAACAGCATTGATGTACAGAAGGATCTTGGGGTTCAAGTCCAGAACTCCCTGAAATTAGCCACACAATTAGATAGGGTGGTAAAAAAGGCATGTGGCATGCTTGCTTTTATTAGTAGGGGAATTGAGTACAAGAGTCAGGATTTCATGTTGCAGCTTTATAAGAATTTGGTTAGGCCACACTTAGAATATTGTGTCAAATTCTGGTCGCCACATTGCAGAAAGGATGTGGAGGCTTTGGAGAGGGTGCGGAACAGGTTTACCAGGATGCTGCCTGGATTAGAGGGTATGAGCTATAAGGAGAGGCTGGAAAAGCTCGGGTTGTTTTCTCTTGAGTGGTGCAGGCTAAGGGGAGACTTGATAGAAATCTGTAAAATTATGAGAGGCATAGATAGAGTTGACGGTCAAAATCTGTTCACCAGAGTTGAAATGTCTGATACTAGGGGACATGCATTTTAGGTTAGAAGGGGAAAGTTCAAAGGGGACGTGAGGGGCAATGTTTCTTACACAGAGAGTGGTAGGAGTCTGGAACACATTGCCAGAGCTGGTGGTGGAGGCAGAGACAATAGGGGTATTTAAGGGACTTTTAGATAAGGACATGAATATGCAAGAATGGAGGGATATTGACCAATGGCAGGCAGAAGGATCTAGTTTCATTTGGCGTCATGTTCAGCACAAAATTGTGGACCAAAGGGCCCGTTCCTGTGCTGTGTTCTATGTTCAAACCTGATTGCTGCAGGAATAAGTGAATGTCTACCTTTCACTTTTTGTGCTCATGGGTCTTTTTTCCCAACTCTATATTGTGTACGTTACAGATTATAATTGTCTTTGTCAACTAGTCTGACTAAATAAATCCCTTTGGTTGTATTTGTGACCTGTTTTCTTTTCTGCATCCACACAAACCATCTTTCTCAAGATTATAGACCGTTCAGTCTGTGGATATCTCTACTTGTTTTGCTGATCCTGCATTGTTGTCAGGCTACCAGTTGACCTGAATTAGTCAGATTTTTTTCTGGATGGATTTTCCTCCCTTAATAAAGCTGACATTGGCAGAATTAGTATTTGCACCTTGAGGATGCCAATTAAATTTGCTCTTGTAGTTGATAGTAATGCAAGTAAAATTGTAGCTGCTCGTAACATTTAACAAATAGATGCAAACTGCGGTATAAACAGATGAATATAACTTTAGAGATAGATTAGAATGAATATGTAGATGAGGTAAACTGTGACCTCAGTAGTCAGGTTCTAGCTATTCACTGATGATTGACAATGTCCAGCACCATTTGCGACTCCTCGGATACTGAAGCAGTCCATGTCCATAAACAGCAAGACCGAGATAATATCCAGACTTACAGTCATAGTGGTAAGTAACATTTGCAACATACATCTGGACTAGCCGTACAAATACTGTGGCCGCAAGAGCGGGCCAAAGGTTAGGAATTCTGTAGTGAGTAACTTACCTTCTGTCTCTCCGTAGCCTGATCACCATCTACAAGGCACAAGTCAGGAATTTGATGGAACATTGTCCACACACCTGGATAGGTGCCGCATCAACAGCAGAAACTCAGCACCACCCAGGACAAAGCAATTTGACTGATTGGCGCCACATCCAGTACCTTAAACATTCATCCCCTTCACCACTAACACACAGTGGCAGCAATGTGTGCCATGTGCAAGATGCTCAATAATAACTGACCAAGGTTCCTTCAGCAGAACCCATGACTTCTCCAAAACCATGACTTCTACCACCTAGAAGGACAAAGACAGTAGATGCATGGGAACAACACCATTCACAAATTCATATCCAAACCACTCCCCATCCTCCGAATTGGAACTATATCACTGTTCTTTCACCGTGGCTGGGTCCAAATCCTGGAACTCCCTTCTTAACAGCATTGTGGGTGTCCCTATATCCCAAACACTGCAGCAGTTCAAGAAGACTTCAGCACTGTGTCCAGGATAGTTAGGGATGGGCAATATGTACCAGCCAAGCCAGGAACACCTGCATCCTAAGAATAAGGTTTAAAATTACTCAGCTTGGCTTGTACAGCACAGAACTTGCTGCTCTGTAATGTCACCATTGTGTACAATCTATTAATAATGTTTAACAGTAACTGAGAAGAAAGTCTTGAACTTCAGTGAAGATCCAAAAAAAACCCTCATTTGAAGAGTATTAACTTGGTTCAGTGGCAGTATTTCCCAGTGTGACTCAGAAGAACTTGGTTCACATCCTATTTGCGACTTGCAAACTATAATCTAAACTCCTGCTTCAGTCTGGGATTCAACTGATGTTGCCTTTTGGAATGAGATTGTACAGTTAAACCCTGCCTGCCTGTTGAGGTGGATTAGCTGCTCCCATGGTGCTATTTGCAGTTAATCTGAAATAATTCTAAGAAACTTAAATCTGTCAACTTCCACCAGCCAAAACAGATTAAATTTAGCCCGTCATTATTTGCATATTGTCTGTTACTCCTGGCTGTAAGACATCAGTGATCGCATTTCACATATAATTAACTAACTCTAAATTTCTTTGAAACACCCTGTGAGAGGCACTATATATCTACAATGTGTTTATTTCTTCAAATATCACCCAGCAAAGTCTCAAGGTTGAATATTTAATGGCTGTGACAGTGGCCCACTTCACCGGTTGGATTCAGTGCCTGTCCTGCTGTAGCCATTCTCCAGAATCCCAAAGGGATTTTCTCCCAGTCTGGCACTTAGTTCCCTGCTGTTGGGGATCCTCTTGCAGTCTTCAGGACTGATGTGCTACCTCCAAACAGCACTTTGAGATGTCTTATCATGTTAAAGACATATAGTAGTCAGTGACTGAAAGGCAGAGAGAAGGGCTGGAGGGCTTGGAAAAGCACTTCAAGAAACGTGAAATAATCAACAGAAACAACTGTTGTTTTTATTCAAGTAACACATTGTTAAGAGTGTAAAAGTAACTGCTTAGGGGCAGTTGGAGATGAGAAATCTGAAAGAGTGAGTGGGTTTGGGGGGTAAAATGACCTGAACTGAGTCCAGGTAATTTTGGTGGTTATGTGAAATTGCATTAGACTGATACCAGTTAAGATAATAACCAATCCAAAGCCTGAAAAGCATGAATCTGCCTTTTTAACTTAGACTGAAAAGGAAACTCAAATGTATTTGAATAGCTAACATCCATTAGCTGATTGAAATGAAGCTGTGATTTAAACTTCAAAAGTAGACTATCTCCAGTTACTAATTCTGATCCTTAATGTGTTGCTTTTAGTGGTTTGAGACCTGTCGAGCTATTGTTCAGTTACCAGCAGGAATTCCCAAGCAGTGGAGGCCAAGGGTAAGTGAGGAAATCTCTCAACAACGTGGACTATTTCTGTGCTCTTACTGCGGCTCCATTGATACCCCAGAACATTTGCTGCCATTTTTTATGCTCTGCATTTACAAAGACACATACTGTCTGTCATAACCTTGCTCCGACTGTTACTTACAATAACGTTTGTGCTGTTTTTCTCTTGAAGAAACATTTGTGGAAGCTGCCACTTTAAGGAGGAGAGAAAAATTGCAAACTGGTTTCATTAATGTCATGTTTATCCCCTCTGCTTCCAGAAGTATCCAATAGTAGCTGGTGGTGATGCCAAAATAGCACAATTAACGTGGATCTTTACGGGATAGAAGGGAACTATTCAGCCTAATGTGCCTGAACCAGCTGCTTGAATTAATTGCCAGTTAGTTCCCCCTCATCTGCTCTTTCCCCACTGCCCATATTTGTTCAGAAGTGGCGGGGGCACACAGCCATTTTAAGCTGTCAGCGCAAACCCTGCAATGAGTTTTAAGCCTGGATAATGGTGACTGAAATAACTGTACAGAGGCCAGTATCCTGTCACCCAGCCACCCTTTATTTACTTGTGCACAGTGCACAAGCTGTGGCCAGCCAGCTCGGACTCAGTCTCTCAAATTGAGAAGATTTTAAATCTCCTGTTTATATTGGTCAGCTAGGTCTTCCTGATCGGCAGAAGTTAACAAACCCAGTCAAGGATCTCGTAGTCAACAAGATCCACCTGGTTCCAATCACTACAGTGACAAATAAGCTTATGTTTTGTACTGCCTCTTGGTTTGCAATCAAAAGTATTTCACATTTATGTGCTACTTTCAAATGAAGCGCATGCCACACTGATGTAGTTCAAATTTTTGTTTTTTGCGATATTATACGACCGCAGGTTTAAAACGCGTGCAAAGCCAGTCTGAGCGGCTGTGCCTCACTGAGTGCTCTTTGACAGTAAGAGCTGACTGATGAAGAAATTAAGCTGTAACTGGAAATACTTGAACAGAATTATTTCCTGTCGAAGTCAAACAGGCTCATTTCTGCTTCAGCAATAAGGAGCAATGGATTAAGCAAATTATGTTGGTGGATTTAAAACTAATTTAAAAATCACCATTTCTAACACTTGAGGCTTGTCTTGAATAATCAAACAGGGATTATCTTGTAGCTTTATATCCATGCTGCTTTGAGAGGCATTGAAAGTAGGAAGGTGGATTAAGCTGTGTCCTCTGGATTGTTGCTTAACCTGTTAAATGGTAATTTAGTTCACAGGAACATTAGTGTGTTGGGTTTTTTTTTTGCCAAAATTGTTGGAATGTTTTTGCTTTGCATGTGCCGATGTGTTTAATATTCTGGAGCAGTATGAGTTTCAGGGTCTCTCTGCTGTTGTCATCCTGGCCTCTTACATATTCCGGATTTCCACCAGAATATTGTGACTGTGCCTTCAGCTATCTAATGTCTAAAATTTCCTCTCTAAATTTTTCCGTCTCCTTCTCAAAGAAGCTCATTAAAACATGTTGTTAACCAAGCTTTTGGCCACCTAGCCTAAAATGATTTGTTTGACAAAGATCCCCGAGAATGCCTTGAGATGTTTAATTGTATTGAAGACCCAATATAAATTTACTGATACTGTATTTATATTTGAAAACTTCAGTCAGCAACTTTCTAAAATAAATGATTACTTGTATTTCTTTAAATCAAAGAGGTTTAAAATGATTGCTTCAGGAGGTGCCAGTCTCAAATATAAAAAATACTCAAGGACTGGAACATTAGGTTGTAATACAATATTTCCACAACTGTTATCCTGACTTAACATCTGCTATTTCTTGATCTTTTCATCACAATCCTGTTTTATCCTTCTGTATTTTATTCAGATTGTTGTTTGTTACAGAGGAGAGGCATAACATAGCTGTAGGAGAAAGCACACTAGATCAGTACCTAAGACAGAAAGGGATTGAAGGATATATTCACAGGATTCGATGAAGAGGAGTGAGAGGCTGGTAATGTGAAACGTATGATTCAGCCCATGTTGGCCCAAGCTGATGTTTGTGTTTCTAACCTGTAAATACTGTCTAACTTTATAATAACATTCCAGTAATTGCCTCCCTGTATGCCTTGACCTTGTTATTCCTAAATTCAAATCTTGGCATCTTATACACACTTCTCCCCTGCATTGTTGCTTTGTTCACATCTAAACAAATTTTATACCAAATTTATCTGCTTTCTCATTGGAGAAAATTGCAACTGTTATTTCTTTCATGTTTTCTATTTGCAACCCTCTGGACCTTAATGTTTAACAGCGTTTAAGTATTAATTATTGTTTTATTTCACTTGCTCTTCTGTCTTCAATAGGGGGTGCCCAATACAATAAACTACTTAGGGTGATGTCTTTTATTTAGTATTCTGACGGAATTTAATGTTTTACTTCTTTCAGGCAGATAAGAATGTCAGCCTACATATATGTCATATTTCTCACAAATTCTTGTTTGCTAGTGCATGCTGTACTTGTATGGACACCAGATCTCGTTCTTAACCATGCTTCATCCTTCTAATGTCCTTTAAAGATGTTGAAACTGCTATGTTAGTTATATCGCACAGATTAATCTATTTCAACTTGTACAAACCTTTAAACAGATTCTTTCAAAGCAACACTATTGTGTGTTTCGTTAAACTGGCATTTCTGAACATCTCAAATCAGTGTCTTTGCATTGGAGCAGAAAGATGATCTGCATGAGTTAAAGGCAGATGCACACAAGTTACAAAATTGAGTATGATTATTTAGGAATAAGATGGTTAATTTGCTTTAAAAATGAAGAAATGAAATCTGGTACTGAACTGATAAGATGAATATGACGGAAATGACTAGACAGTTCAATTGCCCCAGAGATTCCTGTCGAGCAACATGTTAACATTTAGATGGATTAGCTCAGAAGTTTTTCGTAATAATTGTGGCAAAAGCGGATTTATTTTATAACTGTAATGAAATGCCACAAATTATTCTCACTGTGTAGAAGAGCATGCAATGAATTTAATTTACATATCATTAATATGGTGAAGAACTATTTCTAAGCATTGATCTGGTTCCATATTTGACTTTCTCGCTGACTCAGTTGAAGATTGTGAATAATATAAAATTAGTGTTTATTAAAATGTTCTCTTATAGAATTTTCCATGACTCAGAATAAACTGCATTCAGAGTAACATTGTGTTAAGCATATCACAAAGTCCTGCAACACAAGCATATTCACCCATCAATGAGCTAATCACTGATAACCACACCACACAAAAGTAGACAAAAGCCTGAATAAAGCCAGCTCATACATGCACAATTGTTTTTTGATGTTGCAGAAACAACTGTGAGATTTATAGTCTCAATGTTCAGCTGACGCCCAAATTACTTGGCTTTGTCCCTGCAATTTGAGATTATATGAACCCTTTGATTAGTTGACAGCATTACATGGGCTCCGTTCTATTGTCCACATATTGGTAAACAAGAAGCAAAAGAGTTGGTACTATCCCTGAAAGCTCTTCCTGGGTTGTGGTGGTACTTGGGCTGAAAAATGCCAGTTCTCTGATTGACTGGCAGCTCTTGGCAGTGGGATCCTTGTCTTCAAAGCCCTGGGAGTTGCTGAATCGCATTTTAATCTTCTTTGCACTCTAGCAGTGATCGGTGCTGTGTGCATTAAATTCAGCCTGTGAATTGTTTTCATGACTCTCCTGGACTGCAGCTAGAGAATAGCACTGTTGGTTTGTCCACCTCCATTCTCAACAGGGCGAGATAGGGTGAGCAGGTTACTGCCTCCCAACTCCATCTGCTATGAAGAAAAGAATCATTCACGATGGACAAAATGTCATCTTTTCTGAGAAGGTACAGCTGAACCATGTAACAATTCTATGCTTTGCTGCCTGTGTTTGTACAGTTTGAAAGCCTCATCACCTAGTTCCTATGTAGGTTCTACCTGATTGACATTTCCTTTACTGCTTGGAATATTTATTAGAAAACAGATTGTTCAGCAAAACCTTCTTGGTTTAACATCAAGGAAATGAAGTGCTCTGATGGTGACTTTATAGATATTCTCTAATCAGTCTGTTCAGAGATATTATTACACACATCTGCTGCAGGTGGGACTTGAACATGGGTATCCTGGCTCAGAGATAGAGCCCTTTGTTGTGATATTGTATGCTTGCTAAAACTTCTGTTTATTAAATGCCCTGTTGCAGGTTTGGATAACGTTGGCAGACCATCACCTTCAAAGCATTTCCATTGACTGGGAAAAAACCAAGCATTTCTTTCTTAATGAGCAAAGAAACCCAAATGAGGATGCATTAGGAATCCAGATAGACAAGGTAAGCATTCAGTAATTGAACTTTGTCATAATCCCCAGTCATTAGTGTGAAATTAATTGGAATTCAATGTAAATTAACATGAGACCTGAAATTAAAGGTAGACCTATTTAACCTCTATTGTAATATTAAGTTGTCACAAGAAGAAAATTGACAAGGAAGTGGCTAGATCTACTGCTGTGCTGCATCACAGCATGCTACAACATGAGTATTTTGTCAAGTAAAAGTCAAGTTGTGATAACTGAACTTTCAGTCACAAAGTAAGGACAGCTTCTTGAGGTTTTTTTTATGGCAGAATGTATCCAGCAAATGAATGAGGTTTTTTTGTGGCTGAATGTATCCATCAAGCTTCTGGTCTGGAATAAAAATGTACTGGGCTTTAAATGTTTAGCACCATTCCACGTATCTGTCTTTCGACGGCAGATGACTCCAGATGTGGGCAAGTCTTTTTATCTTGATCCCTGGTAGCCTTAACCTCAGTTTTACCGTTAGCAACGTAGGCTCTCAAATGCTGCCTTGAACAGAAGGGTTCTCACTTCCCATCTTTCATCTGGCATTTTATTTACTTGAGAACTTGCTTGGGTCTATGTCTAGATCTTAGCTGGGATCTGGGATTGGGAGCCTGTGATTCTGATGGGAGCTGAATTGAGATTTGCTGAACAAGTTATTGGTGAGTAGGTGTTCCTTGATGAGTCAAGTCGTGACTCCTTCCATCATCATGCCTGGAGATTGGCAAGAAACATACACATTTCTAATCATTAAGGGAATCAAGGGTTATGGGGGATAAAACAGAAAAGTGGAGTTGAGGATTATCAGATCAGCCATGATTTCATTGAATATTGGAGTCAATTCATTTGACCAAATGGCCTACTTCTGCTCTTATACCTTGTTGTTTTATAGTTTGACTGGACAGCAATTGTCTGTATTAGATTTCTTTGCTTTTTTTGTGCATACTTGCGTAACTGTTCGTATAGCTGGTTATGTGCCAGTGCCACAGTTATATTGGAACAGCTTTGTTAAGAAAGTAACCAACTCTGGTGCTCAGATCATCTCAATACCACCACACTTCACGCCTGACCCCATAGCGTTCATTGTGTCCAATGCCTGGACTTCATGAGACATGAGCCAAAATGGCTGGTCATTGGTAACTGTTGTGTTGGGACTTCAGGAAGGGACTGGGTAGATTTTCCTCTTGGCACTTTTACTGAAGCACATGCCTTGTGTTTTACACTTACATGCTGAGCAGCACCATAGTTAAGGATAGAGTTTCGGGGAGCTTCCTGGTCATATTTGTTGCTTGATTGACTACCACCATTCTCAACTGGGTTATCTCGTATTAAAGAGATTTAGTTGATCTGTTGAATCACTTAGCTCTGGTTATATTTGTTTGGCTCCTGGCATTTAGCATGCAGCTACGTTATCACTTCATGGATAGTGGCTCCTCTGTCTAGTTTTGTCTAGAGCTTTTACCCACCCCGTTGAACCAGCATCATTCTCTGTGTCTTGAGGTTACAGATTATTCATATAATTTTGCTGCTGATACTGATCATCTGCACCTTATAGTGCTGAATTTGTCTGCAAGTTACAAACTATTAAGGACAAGTGTCTGGGAGCAGATTACCTGACCCAATGACTAGATAACAGTGGGCAAGCTGGAGAACTCGCACAGAATTCTATAGAATATACAGCACAGTAAGAGACTATTTGAACACTTAACCTCTACCTTCTTCCTGTCTTGCATCAATAGTAATGACCACAGCCACTCCTGTGGTATTGAGTTCCACATTTTCACCAGTCTCTGTGTGTAGAAATTTCTCCTGAATTCCCTATTTGGTGGCAATCTTTTGTGTGGATGGCCTCTAAGTTCTTCCCCTCAAGTGTTTATTCCATCAAATACTTGCCTTTCACAATTGTAAATATTTTGCTTAGGTCAATCCCTCTTCAAAAGAAGAGTCTGTTTATCCTTTGCTGCTAAGTATTACTCTGCATTTCTAAAACCCATCCTTTTAAAAAAAACATTTTTGTATCCTCGCCTGTGCTTCTGTACCTTTTCTGTAGTATGGCAAGCAGAACCGTACACTCTATTCGTGATGGAAGACATTGAGAATTCTTGGCACTTGACAAACTAATTCTTCTTAGCAAATGTTCACATTATCAAGTTTGGACATTCTTCTGCTCAACGATGCTCACCTTAGCTCCAGTGTCAAATGTAGCAAAAAAGATTGTGATGACAGAAATTGTAATGTTGTGCAACCGCTGTACTTCTCATCATTATAAAGGATTGGAGACAGTTTACAACTTCTGCTGACTAATTCCTTTCAGGGACTTTTTTTGGGTTCTCAGAAGTACCAGTTATACTTTTGGAAGGGAGATGGATACATTAATTTCAGTGAATATTCTCAGTGATACAGCTTGATTGAAAAGCTGATTTTTCAGTGTCAAAGTAAGGTTCCATTTGCCTACCCAGGTGGAAGTCCAAGATTCCATCTCCAGGAAGAGCAGAGGATTATGCACAGCGTCCTGGCCTATATCTATTCCTCAATCAACAGCGAAAAAGTAGATTAGCCGGACATTGTCATATCGTTAACTCCATTCATAGTAAACAATGTTAATGGAACTCAATTTTATTAATTCACGGCATGTGGGCATTGCTAGATGAGCCAGCATTTATTGCCTATCCCTAGTTGCCCTTGAGAAGGTGGTGGTGAGTTGCTTTCTTCTCCACATGCTGTAGGTTAACTCACAGAGCTGTTAGGGAACGTGTTCCAGGACTTTGACCCAGTGACACTGAAGGAACGGTGATATATTTCCAAGTCAGGTGAGCAGCTTGGCGGGGAACTTGCATGTGATAGTGCTCCGATGTCTCAGTTGCTGTTGTCCTTCTAGATGAAAGTGGTGTTGTGTTTGGAAGATGCTGCGTAAGGTGTCTTAATGAATGTAGTCAATATGAATAATTATGCACTGATAAATAGAAGCAGAAATACATTATTTCCATGCTTGTAAGTCACAAAAAGGAATTTTTGTAAGAATGTTATGGATTGGATTATTATGTTTTGGACTATTATGCTTTTGGATTTTTAGACCCCTGTAATATTAACTGTGTAATTATAAATTTAAAATGACTAATATATTTTGTTGGCATTTACCTGGGTGTCTCATACCCTTTATTTCTGTTTACAGTTTAAAATTAATGTGACACTGGGTGATATTTTCAATAGTAAGTGAAGCCTCAGTGATAAAGCAGTGGGCTGTGGCATATATAACCTTATCCAGGAAACACACAATGCCACTACAAGGAACCTTATCATTAAAAGATAAATAGAAAATGCTGCAAGTACTCAGCAGGTCAGGCATCATGTGCAGAAAGGGAGAAGCTATGTTAATGTTACAAGTTGGTGACCTCTCATCAGAACCGAAAGGTCACCAGCCTGAAAAATTATCTCAATTTCTTCCTCCGTGGACAGTGCCTAACCTGCTGAGTATTCCAGCTTTTTCCACTTAGGTTACAGATTCCCAGCCTCAGTGCTATTTTGCCTCCACAACAAAACATCTGTTATCAGCAATACCCCAACACCTCATCTTTACCATGGACGTCCAGTCCCTATACACCTGCATTCCCCATACAGATGGCCTAAAGGCCCTCCGCTTCTTCCTGTCCCGCAGGCCCGACCAGTCCCCCTCCACTGACACCCTCATCCACTTAGCCGAACTCGTCCTCACCCTCAACAACTTCTCTTTCAATTCCTCCCACTTCCTACAGACAAAGGGGGTGGCCATGGGTACCCGCATGGGCCCAAGCTATGCCTGCCTCTTTGTAGGTTACGTGGAACAATCCCTCTTCCGTACCTACACTGGCCCTAAACCCCACCTCTTCCTCCGTTACATTGATGACTGTATCGGCGCCGTCTCGTGCTCCCACGAGGAGTTCGAACAGTTCATCCACTTCACCAACACCTTCCACCCCAACCTTAAGTTCACCTGGACCATCTCTAACACCTCTGTCACCTTCCTAGACCTCTCTGTCTCCATCTCGGGCAACCACCTAGAAACCGATATCCATTTCAAGCCCACCGACTCCCACAGCTACTCAGAATACACCTCCTCCCACCCACCTTCCTGCAAAAATGCCATCCCCTATTCCCAATTCCTTCGCCTCTGCCGCATCTAGTCCCAGGATGAGGCATTCCACTCCCGTACATCTCAGATGTCCTCGTTTTTCAAGGACCGCAACTTCCCCCCCTCAGTGGTCGAGAACGCCCTCAACCGTGTCTCCCGCATTTCCCGCAACTCATCCCTCACACCCCGTCCCCGCAATAACAACGAAAACAGAATCCCCCTCGTCCTCACGTATCACCCCACCAACCTCCGGATCCAACGCATCATCCTCCGACACTTCCACCATCTGCAATCCGACCCCACCACCAAAGACATTTTTCCCTCCCCACCCTTATCTGCTTTCCGGAGGCACCACTCTCTCCGTGACTCCCTTGTCCGCTCCACATTCCCCTCCAACCCTACCACACCCGGCACTTTTCCCTGCAACCACAGGAAGTGCTACACCTGCCCCCACACCTCCTCCCTCACCCCCATCCCACGCCCCAAGAAGACTTTCCACATCAAGCAGATGTTCACCTGCACATCTGCTAATGTGGTATACTGTATCCGCTTTTCCCGTTGTGGCCTCCTCTACATCGGGGAAACCAAGCGGAGGCTTGGGGACCGCTTTGCAGAACACCTACGCTCGGTTCGCAATAAACAACTGCACCTCCCAGTCGCGCACCATTTCAACTCCCCCTCCCATTCCTCGGACGACATCTCCATCCTGGGCCTCCTGCAGTGCCACAACGATGCCACCAGAAGGTTGCAGGAACAGCAACTCATATTCCGCTTGGGAACCCTGCAGCCCAATGGTATCAATGTGGATTTCACAAGCTTCAAAATCTCCCCTCCCCCTACCGCATCCCAAAACCAGCCCAGCTCGTCCCCGCCTCCCTAACCTGTCCTTCCTCCCACCTATCCCCTCCTCCCACCTCAAGCCGCACCCCCATTTCCTACCTACTAACCTCATCCCGCCCCCTTGACCTGTCCGTCCTCCCTGGACTGACCTATCTCCTCCCTACCTCCCCACCTACACTCACCTTTACTGGCTCCATCCCCGTCTCTTTGACCTGTCTGTTTCCTCTCCACTTATCTTCTCCTCTATCCATCTTCTATCCGCCTCCCCCTCTCTCCCTATTTATTTCAGAACCCCCTTCCCCTCCCCCATTTCTGATGAAGGGTCTAGGCCCGAAACGTCAGCCTTCCTGCTCCTATGATGCTGCGTGGCCTGCTGTGTTCATCCAGCTCTACACCTTGTTATCTCAGATTTTCCAGCATCTGCAGTTCCTACTATATCTGTTATCAGCAGTTCTGCACTATGATATCAAGAGAGGATTGTGAAGCATCAGTGCATGCATATTTATTTTCCTTTATAGCCTTCAGCACTGTGTGACTGGAATTCAGATAAATAAAGCTGCCTTTGATAAATTGCATGTCGTTGAGGATGTTGGAGTCAGCCAGTAGGAAATTGTGCTTTGCTTCATGTGTGTTTGAGTACATTAGCCTTTCATTTCACTCTGAAGAAGCTGTATTTTGTTGATTTTATTGTAACTTCCCAGCGTGAGGGATGATTCTATCATTTCTTTAATTTAGAGGGTTATGGAGGGAAAGCGAGGCTGAGGGATGAGATCAAACAGCAGACACAGGCAGGATGGGACAAAGGATTCCTTTCTATAATTCAATGAAGTGCACCATTTCTGTGAGCTCAGAGGGGTCTCATAACTAGATAATACATCAAAAGGTTGCTGTGTCTCTGTGGCCTGAATTCATAAAAAGGCAGATGTTTCTACATGGTTGCTATGGTAACTGCCAAGCCCTGGGGAAGTTGCAGCCCATGCTGAGTGGCTCTGATGCTCCTAGTGGTGCAGTTAAAGAAACATGTTTTACAAACACAACCCAGATTAAAATAATCAGTCTCATCTGGTTGGCAGTACTCCCTCCCCCCCAGTAAAGATAACCTGCGTCCCCCACCTCCCCCCCCCCTCCCCCCACCATCCCCACAACCCTCCAACCATTGGCAAGGATTATTTCCCACGGTTTGGACTAGCTTTACTTCGGAAATGTAAAGCTCACTGTACTGCAGATGGAAATAAAGAGCAGATGCTGCAAAAAATGAAATGATAGCCGAAGAAATGTGAGTCATGGACTCATAAGCATCTGAAATTAGAACAAATAGATGAACAATTCAAGTCTGTGTGTATTTTCTGTTCTTCATATCACATTTCTTCGTCAGCACCACGTATTGCTTTTATTTTCAGATTATGGTTTATGGTCTGCATAATGTAAAATGATTGGTGAAAAAAGGAGAGGCAGTACGAAGAGAAACATTCTTAATGCAGCAAGGAGTGTGGTTGTGACATATTCAAACGTGACTGTCAAAAGGAAATTGGATAATTATCTGGAGAGAAAGCATATTCATGGTTTCAGGGAGGAGTGGGCTGAGCTGAGTTGCTCACAGTGAGCTAGTACAGATATAATGGACTGAATGGCCACTTCCAATACTGTGACCAATCAATAAGACCATAAGATGTAGGAGTCGAAGTCGGCCATTCAGCCCATCGAGTCTACTCTGCCAATCAGTGAGATCATGGTTTATTTGATAATCCTCAACTCCACTTTCCTGCCATTTCCCCATGACCCTTCATTCCCTTACTGATTAAAAATCGACTTATCTCAGCCTTGAATATACTTAATGACCTAGCATCAACAACCATCTGCGGTAAAGAACCCCATAGATTCACTATGAAAGAAAGTACTCCTCATGATAACATAAAACTCACACATTCAGGCTGAGGCTGAATAGAAATGTATGAGTAGGGATACTTAGGGAATTTACCTTTGTATGTCTAAATTAAGGCGGAGGAAACTATAATGAACAGTGTGATAAGAGATAATCTAGAGAAAAACTGATATTGTCTTCCATGGATTTCTTGTTTTCAGGACCTGCGTCAGTCTAGCTCGAGCCTTTACGGTGGCACTGATGTGGAACAGTTCTACAGTGCATTGAAACGACTTTTACTAGCCTATGCTCACTGGAATAAGAGAATTGGCTACTGTCAAGGTTTCATAATACCAGCAGCAGTCATTCTGAAGGTGATGGAAAGAGATGAGGGTGATGCATTGAAGGTAGGTTGAAATGGCTTGTGTAATTAGAAACAAATCACTAAAACTACTTTTTTTTTAGTTTTTTGTCCTTTTGTAGCTCATTTCCTCTCCCCAGCTTGTGGTTGTTTGACATTAGCCTGTGACCTACACTTGAGAGATGGGGAATTGCCCCTTATGCAGCAGGTTAAGGAGTGTAATCACCATCATTCTAATCTGCACACCTCCTTGATCAGCAAAAACCTGAATTTATACAGTGCCTTTAATGTAACAGAACATCCCCAAAGTGTTTCATAGAGGTCAATAAAGTGTTATACAGGTGTTCATATTTTATCCTCATATGATTTACTTCCCTGGTTGTGTGAAGCTCCATCAACATTCATGAAACTCAACATCATCTAGAACAAAGCAAATCCATAACATGACCAGCTAGATGGAAGAGGGTAGTCAAACATCAATACCTGTAAGTTCCTCTCCTTTTACTGCTGCAATTTAGAGTAGGTACCTCCACAATGCTGTTTGGGAGGAAGCTCTGGGATTTCGATCCAGTGATACTCAAGGTAGGGCAACATATTTCCGACTCAGGATGGTGAGTGGCTTGGAGGGGAACTTGCAGGTGGTGATCTTCCCATGCATCTGCTGCCATCTAGGTGATAGCAGTGATAGGTTTGGAAGGTGCTATTTTCTTTTAATTCAGTCATGGGATTTAGGTATCACTCCCATGGCCAATCCCTGGTTGCCCTTGAGAAACTAGTGAACTGCCTTCTTGAAAGACTGCAAACCATTGGTGTAGGTAGACCCAAAATGTCATTAGGGAGGGAATATGGTCTATATCCTTGCTGTTTCACTATTTCTGGGCCAAAATGCTGGTACTCCTTTCCTAATAGGTAGGTCTACCTAAGCGAGCAACACTCAGGGCCCGAGAACAAATAAAAGTAAGGACAGGTGATCTAAACTTGATCAAAGAGGACTTTAAAGTACTGAAGAGTAGTGGGGTCAAAGGTTAAGTACATGTAGCATTCTCAACTTTTTAAACTTAGTTTGCATGATAATTCAATGTGACATTCTGGGCCACTGGTAGGGACAGTATCACTGTGCCACAAGGTCCCGCTTCTGGAATTGTTTTAGTTGTCAAGTCAGGTCTAAGCCAGTCAATGAGGCAGAAACCAAGATACCTTTCTTTGTGGATAGACTTTATTGACTTTTGGAACTTACATCTTCTTCCACTGTCCCATTTGTTAGCCCTTTGTATCTCTATAGTCAATCAATTAATCAATTAACCTCAATCACCACTTAACTACTTGCTGTATTAATATTTGTAATGCGACCAGTGTCATTGTGGTCAACCTATAATTCCTCCCAAATAGGGGGCTCGTGTGGTGCAGTGATTGTGTCCGTACGTCCGGACCAGGCAGCCCAAGTTCAATTAAAAACACCAAAATTACTGGAAAAGCTCAGTGGGTCTGGTAGCATCTATGGAGAAAAATCAGAGTTAATGTTTCGGGTCCAGTGACCCTTCCTCAGAGCCTAAGTTCAAGTCCCACTTGTTCCAGTGGAGTGTAATAACATCTCAGAGCAGGCTGATTAGGGAAAGAAATAAATAATTTAGAAGAACAATTCCCCCAGTGGCAACATCCTTCAGAAGCCAATAACAAACGACTGCAATACTTTCCTCATAAGCGTTGACCAAACCAATAGAATCTCATTGCCCAACCTTTGGAAATGAAGAAGGGAGATAAAGTAGTGTGGTAAAGAAATGCTTCAGCGTGAATTACTGATTTATCTTGGTCTAACTGAACAGGGACTAGATAGGGGATAACCTAACACATTGTCCAGTATCATTAATTGCTCCTAAGGACTACCATTTTAATTTTGTAAGGGTCCAGAGGTTACAGACCTGTAACTCTGTTTATCAGATGTTAACAGATCCAATAAGGCCCCAAAGTGATTGGCAAGAAGTGGCAGACATTTCTGTTTGGAAGTGCAACAGGTGCCATATCGGGAATGGAAAGAATATTTTAGTCTCCACATTGAAACAGACATTTCAAATGCAAATAAGATGCTTGTTTGAGGCCTCTCCTCCCCAGTGTTGGTTTGCCTCAGTAAAACTGGTTTTCAGGACTGCCTGCTACTGACGTGTTTTTTGAAATTTACGCACCCAGCCTCAGAGAGCAGGAGTATACATTAACAGGAAAATACATGAAAAAGTACTCAGTTTTGTTCCCCATACCTCCCTGATGGCCAGTCCAACCTCTCTCCATTCTCCTGGCCACCAACCACTCCCACATCACACTTCCTGAGTCCCAATTTCCCACCTCCCCACAACCTCCATACTCCCAATGCAGACCTACGATCCTGGAACCTCTGGCCCCTAATTGCCTGATTTTTATTAACATTATAAGCCACTTCGTTGCAGTAATTTTGGGGCAGTGGAAGGACACCTTGATTCTTACCATTCCAGTCCAGAGTGGTGCTCTGAATCGCTTGAAGTGAGAAGTGTGGATTTTTTACCCTCTAATATATATATTTTTTTTGGCAGTACTTCTCTCAGTGAGGATGCAGCATCTTGTGCGATTCGACTGACAAAATAGTTTATTCAAATCACCACTGAACTGCATGGCTAAGGACTTTGATCGTTAGTCAGACTGAGAAATTGCCAATGACGTGTTCACCGACTGAACTGATTCCCTGCACTGCAGTTCTCTCTGTAAACCAGTCACAAAACAGACCCCGCACCACACCAGACTGCAGCTCTTCTGTCATTCACTAAAACATTGACTTTGAGTTGTATAAACCGTCAAAGCGGTATTTGGCTATAATTGTGACTGTTTTAATGTCGTTGGATCGGATTTTGCTAAAAGTAGATTTCAAAAAGAAAATTATACTGTTCAGTTTTTTGGAAACATGGGCAGGCTTTTCATTCCCTTGAGCATGTTCTACCATTCCTTGAAGCCACGGCTGATTTGTACCTCAGTTCTCTCTCGTCGCCTATGATCTACATTCCTTACTGCTTTCATTTGACAAAAATACATCGAGTAAGTCCTGAAAATCTAATTGACCTGACATTTCGGCCTTTTTTGGTCTGAGTTCCAGATTGCATTGTGTGAAATAGATGTTTTCTAATATTACTCCTAAATGGCCTAATGATAATTTTGAATTTCAGTCTCCTTATTCTGAACATTCACAACGAAGGATGTCGATTCTCTGCATCACCTGTATCGAATCACTTTTCTTCTTATCTCTTTTGCTGAATCCCTTTACCATTTGAAATGCCTTGGTCAGATCAGCCTGCCATCCTCTAAGATCAAGAAAATACATGCCAAGTTTTGGCGGCCTACTCCTGTTACTTACTGGGCAGTACCATTCTGATGAATCTGTGCTATACCCACTCATGACCCAGGATAGAATTCTTGTGGTAAAGTGCCCAAAGCTGAATGCATTCTCCAGCTGGGGTTTGATGAAAGCTGTGTGCAACAGACCAAACTTTGTCCCCATTGTACTCTGAACTTTTGAGCTAAAGGCCAACATTCCACGCAGCTTTCTGATATACATTAATGGCCTGAACTTGGGTATTCGGGGCAGAATTTCAGAGTTTACAGATGACACAAAAATGGTGAGGTGGAGAGTGACAAACTTCAAGAGGACCTAGAGAAATGGAGTAAATGCAGATACATTTTGGTCAAAGAAAAGCAATGTAAACTAAAACGTATAATTTAAAAAGGGGTGTAAGAACTGAGAAACCTTGAGCTGTATGTATACAAATCTTTAAAGGTGTCAGGATATTGTCAAGGAAGTTGTTAAAGTCATTTATGGGATCCTTGGCCTTCTTAAAAGAGGCATAGAGCACAACAGACAGGAATTTATGCCAAAACCTGTTTGTCTTTGGCAAGAGAATTTGGTCAGTTCTGGGCATCACACTTTAGAATGGCTTTCAAGCACTGAGAAAGGATGCAGGGAGCGTTGACTAGAATGGGCCAGAAAGGAAAGAGTTCAGTTCGGAGAACAGACCAGAGAAATGTTGGCTGTTCTTCTTAAAGCAGAAAATTCAAAATCATGTAAGCTTTTAATGGAACAAATAAGCAGAAACTGTTTCAGGTGACAGAAGAATTGATAACCAGAGGGTACAGATTTAAGATAAATGGCAAATGTTCCAGAGGCAAGACTGGCACTTTTTTTCTTCAGCGAGTTTTTATGAGTTCGAATGCATGGTGTGAAAGTATGTTTAAAGCAGATTCTGTAATAATTATCACAAGGAAATAGAAAAACGCAGATACTTGAAGGCGAGGAAATAGCAGGTCCACAGGGAAAAACAGAGAGTTGGACTAATTAGATGATTTTTTCAGAAATCTGGAATAGGTATGAAGGGATGCTTGGCCTCTTTCTGTGTTGTATCATTCTGTGGTTCTGATTGTCTGATTACCTGCTCTCCAGCTTCTAATGATTTATGTACACCTTCACACAAATCATTTCACTTCTGTACCTAATCTCCCTGTATTTAGAAAATATTTCAATTTGTTGTTCTTGGATCCAAAGTGAATAATTCTTTACTGTATGTTTTATTTCATAGATTTATACAGCGTAGAAACAGACCCTTTGGTCCAACCAGTCCATGATGAACATAATCCCAAACTAAACTAGTCCCACCTGCCTGCTCCTGGCCCATATTCCTCCAAACCTTTCCTATTCATATATCTATCCAAATGTCTTTTAAACATTGTAATTGTACCCGTATCCACCCACTTCCTCAGGAAATTCATTCCATACATGAACCACCCTGTTGTGTAAAAAATGTGGCTGTTGTGTCTTTTTTAAATCTCTCCTCACGTTAAACATGTGCCCCTTAGTCTTGAAATCCCCCAACCTAGGGAAAAGACAACTACCTTTAACTCTATCTATACCTCTCATTATTTTATAAACTTCTGTTTGGTCGCCTCGAGTTGTTTTTCGGACTGGAGGCCTATGGCCAGTAATGTTCCACAGGGATCGGTTCTGAGTCCTCTTTTGTTTGTCATTTATATAAATGA